AGAGACAATGAGAAGGAAAGTGAAAAATCAACCCTCAGGGAGGATGGCCTTCTCTGTTCTCCTCTTGGGATTTTGGGTATGCATGCACATGCGCCTGCATGAGTTTCAGTCCACCAGATCTGGGATTCAAATAGCTGTCAGCTGGGGCCACCAGATGATGTAATAGTTATGTCACTGGATTCCTACATGGTCGACCACAGTTTAAGATCCAGACCTGGTGGCTTGAAACTCACCGGACATGTGTGCATGTGGGAGGAGAATAGAAAAGAAGAGGTTTGGCATGGCCATCCCCTTATGGGTGGGGGAGGTGATTTTTCACTTTTCCTCTCACTGTCTCTCATTCTCCAGTAAGCACATGTTGCCCTAAGGCAAAAATCTCTAAAAATAAATAAATAAATAAATAAATAAATAACACAAGCTGTTGGCCACGTGGGAGTCCAGAGCTATAACTACCGTGCCACCTTCTGACCCCCGACATGAACTTCTTTTTTTTTTTTTTGGAGAGATTGAGATTTTCGCTATAGGGCACGTGCACTCTCCAGACAGACAGAGAAAGATATTAGAGACAGAAAGCGAGAAATCACCCCCCAGGGGGGATGGTCATGCCGCAATCCCTTCTCCTCCATTCTCCTCTCGGGATCTTGGGCACGCACGCACACGTGCCCGGCATGAGTTTTAAGCCACCGGGTCTGAGACGCGAACCACGGTCAACTACGTGGGAGTCCAGCGACATAGCCATTACGCTAACTGCTGGTTCCCAACCCCAACATGATTTTCAAGCCACCAAATTGAGATTGGCCATGTGGGAATCCAGCCCCTTAACCACCATGATACCTGCTGACCCCTACTTTCTTTCTTTCTTTTTTTTTAAAGAATTATTTATTTAATTAATTCCGTTTGTTGTTATTATTATTATTCATTTGACCAGACAGAAACACACAGAGAGAGAAAGGAAAACCAAGAAAGCAAGCCACCAGGTCCAGAACTTGAACTGCAGTCAGCCATGTGGGAATCCAGCACCTTTAACCACCATGCCATCTGCCAGCACCACTCTTTCTTTTTTTAATTGCTGGAGGATATACCAGAGAGAAAGAGAGAGAAAGGATCCCTCAATGGGATGTGGTTATACCACAATCCTTTTTTCCTGTTTTTCAGTCCCATCAGGCTTTTGGGCATGCACCACATGCACCCAGCATGTTTCTTTTATTTATTTATTTATTTATTTTTCCCCTAGAGTGCATGTATGTTTGCCAGAGAGAAATACAGAGAGAGAGAGAGAAAGTGAGAAAGCACCCCCTCTAGGAGATGGCCTCCGTTTTTCTTTTATAGGGTTTTGGACGTACATGCACATGCACCTGGTATGTTTGTTTTGAGCTGCCGGGTATGGAACTCAAACCATAGTTGGCCATGTGGGATCCAGCCACTTTAACCACCTCAACACTGGCCCAGTAAGTATTATCATAGTGGGAGAAAGGAAGCTCTGTAAACTGAGACTAAAAGTTTAAATGACTTGTCAAAGGTTTATAGCTAGTAAGTGAAAAAGCCAATAGGAGCCCACATGTCTCTGACTCCAGAGCGCCCTTGATCCTTATTTTTTTTTTCCCTTTATTCACAAAAGAACATATATGCATGCATGTGAGAGAGAGGAGCACCCTCCACAGGGTCTGGTCATGCTACAGTCTCCTCCTCTAGTCCTCTAGCCCATCAGATCTAGGGTACTTGTTCATATGCCCAGTATGACCAGGCTGGAGATTAGAACTGTGGTCACCCTGTGGAATCTGGCTTCTCTTGAGCACCACTATGCCATGGAGCCCATCACCAAAGACCTTGATCTTAACCACAACAGGGAAGCTAAACCTCTCAATTAAAAGTAGAGACCCAAGGCCAGCAGTTGATCTGGTTGTTAAGATGCTGGACTCCCACATGTCCAACCATGATTCACGTCCCAGACCTGGCAGCTTGCTTTCTCAGTTTCCCTTTCTTTTTTTTTTTTTTTTTTGTTTTTGGGGGGGTTTTTTTTTT